TGGCCCTGCACGGTATAGCTCATGGCTTCACTGAGTTACGCAAGCCCCTTCACCACGACAGTGATCCATGAAGGGGTATTGCACCATACATTCTATCTAATATTTGCTGAAAATAAATTTGGTTCTCAGCCAACACTTCAGCCTCAGCCTCTTTCATCTCGTCATTCCCTCAAGTGTCTTTTTTCATATCTTCCATTTTGTATAACTCCACATACTTCTGTGGCACTGGATAATATAATTCTTTTTGCTCTATTCCAAGCAGTTCTCCATCTCCTTTCCTTATATACTCTTCCCATTCATTCTGCTGGGAAATAGGATGTTTATTTGTTTATACAATTTATATAACTGTTCATCTCACAAAGTGACTCGAGGCAGTGAACAGATTAGAAACCAAAAGACAACATAATACATTAGTCAGATAAACAATCAACACATGCCTGAGGTCTAAAAACATCCATATTCACAATCAATTAAAAAAGCAATAGCCAATAAAATCAACAGCAAGGCTCTGTTAATATCCAGACTCAAATGACTGAGTGAACAGCTAGATATTTAATGCCTTGCAAAAGGTCAACAATTTGTACTTACTCTTCTTGTAGCCCTTCTACTTTTTCTTGTACTCCCACTTCTTTCTTTTTCTTCTATATCCATCATTTCCCACAATCTATATCAAAAAATGGTCTCTCCCATATTCATAACCCCTCATCATCTTTGTATTCTTCACTAATTTGTTTCATTTTTCATTATGAACATTCGGATCAATCATGCTTTTTCATTTATATTCTCTTCTTTTGCCATATGTACATATGAATAGACATAGTTAAACCACATATTCAAAATTAAAAGAACTTCTTGAAAGCAGATACTCACTAGCCACCAATCTCATTAATTCTTGGATCTCTAAATGGCTCAGTAACCTTTTCTGTAATCTTTTGTTTTGCTCCAACCGATCCATTTATGTCACTTAACAGAATTACTTTTTTCTAGTCATGTTCTTTGAAAATGCTACATTGTTTTTCCCAAAATTCATCCCTGATTCCTTCATTGGCATTCACTGGAGCATAACATGCAATTATTATCAATAAATTAATTTCTATTTTCACGCACACTTGCAACAGTGTAGTACACTAACTCATACTTTATGACAATGACATACATTTGAGCCCTTTCATTCATAATGAAACCTACATTTTCATCTCCATATATGTATTAAAAAACTTAAATTCTCTGATCACCTTCACTCCCTTTTATTACATCCTTCTCTTTTGTCTCAGTTTCACAAACACACAACATACCTATTTTCTTCTCTTTCATTAGATTTGTTCATTCATCCTGTTCATTCATTTACTCCTCTTACATTCTAAGTTACAGTCTTCCATATACATGTTTGTTATTAGGTGAGCCCATAAAAATTGATCTTCGCTGCCCATCATTACTTTGGTCAACTGAGGCTTTCGCATAACTTTTTTAGTAATAAAAGAAAGAGTACACTAAACTAGCAGCTTTAGTCATATCCATATAATGTTCCATGCTAATGAGAAGAACACAATACAATAAGCTTTCAACACATTTTTTCAGTATTGTATTTCACATTTTTCCATATGCCACAAGTGTAACTAAGGCCCAGGTTTACCCTAAGCAGCATGCTCACTCTATTCTATGCATGCTAGGATCTTTAATCTAAGGTCTACCTTCAAACCAATGTACTGTTGACCATACCCCACCATCTAAGAGGTATATGCAGTGTATTGACACACAGGAATTTTCCATGTTTTTAGAGAAGGATCTTTAACTTGCATGCAATTAATAGTTGAAGAATCAGTGACACCCTGAACTGATATGAATGAGCTAAATAGCACATAGCATTGATGTCACCTGGTAGATAAAAGTTCCTTCTTCTTCTTCTTTTTTTTTTTTTTGCTGTGGTATTTTAGTACTCTGCTATAGAGAAGGAGAAACAATGTGTCTTACTTTCTGATGAAGTGAGCTGCAGCTCATGAAAGCTTATGCCTTTTAACAAAATTTGTTAGTCAGAAAAGTGCTACCTGACTCCTGATTTTTTGCTACCATAGAATAACATGGCTCTCCCCTTACAATAAGAGCAAAGAAGGTAAGTTTATATTTTGAATGCATTGCTAGATGGGACTTTTAAAAAAATGTTATTATGTTAGTGTCATTGCAATCAGCATAGTGTGAAAATACAATTTTAAAAACCTTTTTAAAATTTAATCTGACATTGTCACAAAGCTTAATTCAACATGGTAAATATGGTAACATAACTTAAAAATCCTAAGTTTTAAACCTGAGACCATGAATTTTTGGGGGGAGAGCAAATAAAGAAAAGGTATATGTGACATGAGTAGCAGAAAAAGGTAAGTATTTGCTCCTCAGAGATCATATGGAGGCAATTATGGGGATCAGCTGAAGTTCTGAATGTAAAGAAATACAATGTACATCATATTGCCCTAGTCAGTTGTAATGCGGATAAGGCAGTAAGTAATCAGATTCTAGGAGTGGACAAATGTATCCAATCGGAATCATTACTGAACTATGATGGGGCGGGGGGAGGTTGGCAAGGGAGGAAAAGAGACAGAGACAGAGAAAGGAAGAATTAAATGTAAGAATTAAGAATTAAGAGGAAGAAGAAGAAGGAACTTTTATCTACCAGGTTACATCAATTAAGTGTAAGAATTAATTGCCAACCCCAAATATCAAATTTCTGGGCAATCTCTTCTAGTGGTTTTGTATAGATTTGGCTTGAATATTGTCTTTATTCAAAAGATCTATGAATATTGGGGAATAAGCCATTTTTCTGTGCTGGCTGAGCTTCCATGAAAACAAGTTTGAATCTCTGTAAGTTCAAGTCTCTTCAAATCAAGCTCAGGTCCTGATGACTATATGTCTGTCTAGTTTTCTTGCAATGATGCAGAAGACAATACGATGCAGAAGTAGTTTACTACTACTTTCTTTCAGCCCTTACTAAATTTGCTATCAGTAGGCTTGAATCAATGATGGCAAAGCAACAACAGTTGTACATTTAGTTATCAGTACAACCATCATGTGTAAAGATTCTTAGCTTTTCAATTGATCCTTTTTTCCCCTTTTCTATTTGGGGGGAGGGGGTTCCACATTTGTAAATATATTATTTGCCTTCAAGATAAGCATGGCATTAAACGTTCCTATATAATCAGGATTCTGTACCATTTATTTTCAGTTAAGAATCTACTACAGCAAGTCCAGAGACAAGGTAAGATCTGAATCTCAGACATCATGTCAGATGGATTAAGAGTGATCAACTGGCTCAAAGCTATCCAGTGAATTTCCATGGCAGAAGGTGAACTTAAACCTGAGTTTCTGCTGCTTTAGTCAATACCTTAAACATTACACCATACTAGTTCTCTCAAGCTGAGAACTAAATATTTCCTTTGAAGGCATTAATAAAACTGCTGCTTTCACTTCACATCAAAGTTGGGTGTTGCAGTTTCCTCTTTCTGTTGTACAAAAATATTGAGCTTTTTTTAAAAGAAAGAAAGGAGTCCTAAAAGATGCATGTATTTTCTTTCTGACTGAAATGATAAGATCACTTGCTTTTTCCAAACACATTATATTGACTGTATTTTTAATAAATACTGAAATAATGCAAGCTGATTATACCAAAGGCCTGAGATAACTTATCAAAACTTTTCCCTTAACAGTTAGAAGGTTCATGAATATTGTATGACATCAGAGTAGTTAAACCATGAAGAAAGTATTGGCAAAAATAGTAAAAAAAAACAAAAAAACCTCTTTTCTGAATGAAATTTAGAAGTAATTTGTGTAATTTTCTAGGTAGAAAAGAAGGTTTTGTGTGCTTTCCTTGGATTTTTTAAATTCCCCTAGTAGCATTGCAAATCCTAGTACTATAGACTGATAGTGGTTTCTTTATTTGGAAAAAAAAATGGTGTATCTGAAGTTGGTTATTAAGTGTTAGCTCGAAGCATTTTTCTTCCTTTTTAGTTTTCCACATGTGACACAAAACTTGATTACTAATTGCTGATTCTTTCTATAGAGAGAAAGGGAGGAGAAGTTGATAAACCATTACATAACAAACAGGCAGAAAGATGTTAGCCAGGACAGTGTGGTGGTTCCAATGTTAGATTTAGGTTTGAGGACATTCAACTTTTAGTGTACCTTCACCCATGGAATTTACTAGGTGACTTTGGGTCACTCACTCTTTCTTAGTCCAACCTACCTCTTGGGTTTTTGTGGGGATAAAAGGAAGCGAGATGGCCATGTAACTACTTTGATTTCCTGAAGAAATGGTGGCATATATTTCTAGCAAATAAATAAAATAAGCAGCAATGAATGCATATTATAATCCTGTTCATATAACTCACTTGTTTGCCAGCAGGGTGCATACAAATAGCTGATTTTGATACCATTATTAATCTAATGCTTGTGTGCTTTCAGGCAAGAAAACATTTGTTGATTATGAATTCATCTAACCATTCTTCATGGAACAAATCTCATTTAATACAAACACTAATAGCAGTAAAAATAGGCCTTTATTTAGTTAATTTCATCTTCATTACCACTATGAGTATATTAATAATTAATATTGTAAGACAGAACTACAAAATGAAGGAAGAAGTCAGATATTTCTTTCTTTGCCATCATCTTATCAGTTCTTCTTTATTCTGTGCTTTTGGCATTATAAGCAATGCAGTACAAACATTTCAAGTGAAAATATTCTGGGTCTGGATCATCTTCAGAATACAAGCAGCAACTGGAGAATCAGTCCTCATAACTTTAGCTTTGATGGCCCTCAATACGTCCCTTGCAGTCTGTTGGCCTTTGAGATACTTGGCATTTGCGCACTCAGTGAAACACAAAGTGGCAGCTTCTATTTGGATTGGGACTATACTCAAATCTGCATTCTTGATCATTATTGAAGGTACAGATCAGAATCCAGAGGAAATTTTTGAAGAGGAGCCCTCTTGTCCTACTATGCTAGGTGGCAGTTTTGCAAAAATATCTGCTCTTCTTCTCATTTCACTTCTTGCGGCTGCCATAATGACTGGCTACATCTTCCTGTGCAGAGAAGGAAAGCTTGCTGGACATTTTAATTCTTCAAATAAGAAAGCCAGAAAAACAATCATGATTCACGGTTTTCAGATGAGTTTTCATATTCTTCCACCTTTGATTATTGCAGCCATTGGAAAAGGAACAGAGCATACAGAGATAAAATTTGGAGCCTTTGTTGTTTTCTTATTTGCACAAAGCTTTAGTCCTGTGGTTTATGGACTTCGTAATAAGGAACTGCAGGACAAGCTATGCATCAGACAAGAAGGAAGTCGAGACAGTAACGACTTGGTAAACAATAATAGCCGCCCACTGCAGCTTCAAATGACTGAAAGATCAGTCAGTGGAAAAACAACTTCTCCATGTACTGTATAAATGTCTCAAAGGTGAGTAATATTACATACAATAAACTGGATCTTTAGGTTTCTAAATATGTTTCTGAATTATAACCTGTTTCTGAATTATAACCCTTGGATACTTCAAAATTATAGAAAACATATACAGTGATTCAACTCAGCTGAATATACAAAATTTTAAAAAATTATATCCAGCCTTTCAAGGCCAATATAATAGCCTGTTCACAACTTGATAGAGATTCAGGACAGAGTTGGGAAAACAACAGCCATCTGCAAATTTCTCACTTATCCAGGAAGAGAAAAGCCAATTTGTTGGTTCACAGAAAATCTGTTACTAAGAAACTGAAAAAGTCTCTGTCTTAAGTCAGTTTCTAAAGTGAAAGTAATTCAGTTGCTGAACATTCTGTATCCTTATCTCATTCCTTTTCAATTCTACTTTTAATTGAGTATCAAGGGCTTGACAGCCAGACCCAGCTGGAATCTTGGAGTGCTACATTTTTACTTTAAAGAAGGGTTGGGCACAGATCCGGGTTCACAGAGTCCCAAGTCTCATTTTTTAGCCTCCAAACACTCCCAGATCACACTGCTCAAATTTGATGGTACAGTATTTGGGGCAACAGTATTTTTCATATTGTAGCTGGAGCAATATCTTCTTTCCCTTGGACAGTTTGTATATCCAGCCCTCCAATCTGATGTCTGTAAATCTCAGTGTGCCTTTGGGTACCTACAATATGTTGGCATCCACTAGGCTCTTTATTCCATCATGACTTTTTCTAAAGATTCTTTTACTGGCCTCATATATCCCCCATAAGCATTCTTAGAAAATATGGTGATCCAGGGCTTTGCTGAGAAGTGATGGGCAAGCTGAGGGTAACAGGGTCTTCTGGAGCTTGGAGCCTGGCTACCCTACAGGGCAGCTATTTGTGAGAGGGCCTACAACATGCTCTCAAAGTTCCAACAGTGCCTTCCATTTAAAAGTATTGTGGTCCCCTAACACAGATGGATCAGTAATTGGAACAATTCTTAGTTAAGCTATGCTTATGTCTTATCCTAGTTAAGTTCCCCCCCACCCCCGGGTGGTTCCCAGTGAATAGAGAGATACATTAAATAGTGATAGATGTTCTTTTTAAAGATGTGTATGCTGCCATTTCTTCATAGACAGTAACTACTGTATTTGATAAGATGCTCTTTTATTTTTGTCTTGTCTTTTGAGATCAATAGCTAGACTGCAATACCAGATAAGAAGAAGTATTTCATAATAGTTCACTCCCTTTCTCGGTATGATATCTTTCTTTAGGGCTGATAACACTCTCTCCTGCTTTGCCTTCTTTCTGTTTTCTCTGGCTTTTACATTAACCTCCAATTGTATTAGCATTGCAACTCTTAGAAGTCCATGCTAGAATACATATGTACTTTACCCAATTCTATCATTGTTAGATTTAGATTGTTAGAAGTCATAAGTCTGAGGACCTCAATCTGATTTGTATTTCTACATACTGGTTAATTAAAAATAACTGGGTGATTGCCATGTTGTAAAATAAATGCCAGTATCTAGTACTTCATTATTTCCAAGGAAGCTTCTGAATCCTACAAGATCCAGCAAGTAAAAACGGCAGCAGGCTGTACCCTAGTACTTTGTTTTGAAGCACATCAGATATCCAAGGGGTTTGGGGTGGGGAAAGAGAGAGAATTTTTTTAAAAAAATTATTATTTATTTATTTATTAAATTTGTATGCCACTCATCTCCCTCAGAGGGTGACTCTGCGTGGCTTACAATTAGAATAAATCCCAAAAACGATTTAAAAAATAAATACGCACATTAATTAATTAAAAATTCAGACTATATATTAAAAAAACCCTAAGCATAAAAAGACTAAAAACATTCAAGATGACGGGGGGTAGAATAAATTACCCCACAAGCCACTTCCACTGGTGCGAGCACCCATCTGGCCCCCAGGCCATCTGGCATAGCCAAGATTTCATGCTCTTCCTGAAGGCCATGAGAGTGGGGGCACACTGCACCTTGGGTGGTAAGTTGTTCCACAGAGTGGGGGCCATGACAGAAAAGGCCCTCTTCCTAGATCCCACCAATCGAAATTCCTTGGCTGGTGGGGTCCGCAACATGCCCCTTCTGCCAGACCAAGTGGGGCAGGCTGATATAACGGGGGCAAGATTATAACCTGGTCCTGTGCCATGAAAGGCTTCAAAGGTGATAGCCAACACCTTGAATAGGACCCGGAAGCAAACCAGCAATCAATGCAGCTCACATAACAGAGGTGTTATATGGGCTCCCCTGAGGGCATTCAGAACTGTCCATGCTGCTACATTCTGCACCAGCTGTAGCTTCCAGATACTCTTCAAAGGTAGCCCCATGTAGAACACATTGCAGTAATCCAACTGGGAGGTGACCAGGGCATGAGTGACCATGCGGAGAGCCTCCTGACTGAGGAAGGGGCATAGCTGATGGACAACACGAAGTTGTGCAAAGGCCCTCCTAGCCACAACTGCCACCTGCTCTTCAAACAGGAGTCATGAGTCTAGGAGG